GTGTCGTACACGGATACAATGAAACTTTTAATAGCGAGCGGTACACATAGCGTAATGCCATAATGCTACCTTGTAGAAAACTCAGCATCCGGCACGCCCACCTTCTTACTTCACCTCAAGGACCTATACATAACGGCACAACATCCAGAGTTCCTTTTAGCAGTGTAGTGTCTGGAGCCTTCTCAGCTTCTGCTGGCATCAGCCAGGGATGAAGTCTTGTGCTACGTTCTTCTTTCATTCCATCGTCCGAACTCTTGAGAGATGTTAGTAGGAGTGACGTTTTACAGAAAACCCAGACATCTGGTACTTGGCGTTTCACAGCGTGGAGGTAGAAGTAACAAATATTTGGCCTGCACTGACCCTGGGCTAAGACCAGGATTCAAAACAGCCTCGGGCCCATTTTCTCCTTCCATCATCGAGACAGACCAGAGGGTAGGGGCAACAGATTATTATACAAACCGGTACCTCGGCTCGGGCACACACTCCGATAGCTACTCTTCACACGATATCTATCGCCACATTGCGCCAGCGTCCTCGACCAATCTGGATCGGCCAGATGGAATTGTGATTGCACAAACGACTGCCTCTCTCTTCGAAAGTGTGGATCTGTACTACATGCATCATGCCTCAGCTACGAGAGATGGACCATGCTTAGATAAGACGGCCCCACACTCCTGGTTTTCGTAAAATATGTCAGTTAATTAAACATACTCGGGGTATGATAAGTTGACTTTATCACTAACGGGGCCCTCTCTAAGGAAACCGGACTCGAAGACATTCACTCCATCGTATCACGGCGTCACCACTCTCTCTTCAGACTCATCCGTAGACTACCAAACAGTACTCTAGCTCATACTGCCCCAAAGCTGGCCACTGATGTGTCCGCTGGAGTCAAGCCTGGCCCAAATTGGTTACAAGGAGCCGCCCAAGCGACACTCTGGTGCGACTTACAGCTTGAAGGCGAGCACGCAATGTCAACTTGGGACCTCTGCCATACTTATTATGTCAACTAATCGGTTGGTTTGAGTGGCCAAACGTCCCTCGGCTGGATACAGAGTATGATGGTGAAGGTTATTTCAAGCCGTTTTGCAAAGGCCCGTAAATGACAATACACCATACTGTTGATGGGCAAAGCCAAATATACTAATCAGGATTACATCTCGGCTACACAAAAAGAAAGTGAAGTGAGCGACGCGACGCGTGTGCGTCGGTTCGGGGTTCGTGGATCCTGAGCCTACGTTGGTTGAGGTGCTATCGTCTGGTAAGGAAGCCCAGTCTCAGAAACAGACACAAGCTTGGTTTTGATGATACGATCTCTTTAATTCGTCAAGAAAAAATCCCAGCGAAGAAAAATCCTAAACAGATTTTTTTTTTATAAACACAGTTTATCACAATCAATATACATGTACATGTAATTGTCAACAAAAAATGTAAGTAATAAAATTTAATATCAATGGGTGACAATGCTGTATGTTCATGGAACCCATCCAGCACCTTGTCTTCACAGGGCTAGTGGAAGGTTACATGTACACTATGTGCTACCGGCAATGTAACGTTACAATTACCCAATATGAATTTATGTAATGTAGTGAAATTGTCAATGGAATACAAAGACCAGCTCATATGTTCGTTCAAATGTCTGAATATTTGCAGGGGTAGGCACAAAAATGAAAGGTTTGCGCTCCATCATGACAGGCCATACAAAGTAAGTATATACTGATATATACGAGATATGCATGCCAAGACTGCAAGCAACCCGGTCATCAGCGGTCACGCAAAGTTACGAATTAGTCACAGCGTACATTGTGGTGTCACTGCAATGCATGCACGATACGCGTACACTCTACAACACTGGAAACACAGCCATGGACAACTGACTTATGATAGGAGTCATATAAAGTAAGGCAAAGAAAAGCTACCATTTTCACATGAAAGTAATTCTAAAATGATTATAAAAGGAAACTTACTTAGCACCCCTTGAAAACAAGGATGAGCCAACGCATGGCAAAATACCTTCCCTCTGACAAGGCTAAAATCCAACAAAAAATGGGCAGAACTGTGGAATCTTTCACACAAATCTTCTTGTTGTCTGTCATTTGTTGTCTTAGGATAAAATTTTAAATCGTGACGTCGTTTATTTGAAAATGATTTCAGATGAATTACAAAGGTTTACATCGTCAAAAACGTTTCCTCCTAGATGAACTGGACCCCTCCCATAAAAGGTCCTATTACAGGAACTATGGAATATAACAAACGCATTTCTGTTCACAGGCTTCCTTGAAAAATCGGGTTGCATTTTGAGCGCTGAAAAATTATAAACATGACACAAATACGATGACGTTTCAATACGAAAGTTAGCCATCAGCTTAGGCCTACAGCTATTTTCCAAAACCCCGCAGTAGCAGCAGACATCAGATAGAGGTAGGTATTAACGACAAGTTCAACTAACAATCAACCTCCATGCAGGGCTTGACTGTAGGTTTTGGTTGGAGTCCTTTAACTCAAATCAGACATCGTACGAGTTTTTTGTCATCAAAGTCTGCATTGAGGTATGAAATATGCCTAGTCTTTCTTTGTCCAAACAATAAATGGAAGTATTTTCAACTTCATGTCAGCATTGATGTTTTCTTCGCCAGTTTTTGTCCCCCGGGCCGGTGTGTACCTATGTCAGTAATATGAAGAAAATGGGCAAATTTGTTGATGCTAAGCGAAAGAGACATATACGCCCGTTATGCCAGCGTGCGTATATACAGGTCTTCTCTGGCGACGCAACGCACACGATTGGCAAACTTGAACTTGACTCCACTTTCCCAAAGGTCTGCGTTTATGTTTACGTTACGGTAATGATCTTAAATGGTAACACGCTGCCACTGGAGATTGCTGTTTACTTTCTCCGTGCTACTGTACTATCTTTGTTAAATGTACAATGCAAAAGTTTTCTGGACATATTTAATTCTTTTCTCGCGTCATCCAGTGCTTTCTATGTCCGAATTTTTTTATTGACAAAGACTCTGATTGTAACTGTTGACAACTAGGGCCTATCTCGACAATTACTTTGACAAACCAATTGAAGGCGTGGTGAATTTATACTAAATATTTTACCATACTCGCTGAGAAAGGACCATAGGGCCTACACACAAGTGGTGTTGGTTTCTGCCATTGTAATGTAATGATAAAATATTTTATCTTCAGGCAAACTTGATTTCTGAGTTCTGATTGGTCGATCCATGGCAACAAAGAGTGTGACAATTGTTGACCGCTGTGGTTTGGGATATAACATTTGAACACCCTAGGGACGCATAGCGCCCCAAGGCGAAGCACTATATCAATCTGGTGATTCAGATTTTTCCAAATCTGGTAGGCATAATTTGAACTTCGAAGATCGAATCAAAACATCACAAGGTTTAAACGTCAACAGTATTTAAAACACCATAACAGTGAATCAAAAGAGCAGGTCCCTAATCTACTGAATTATATCTAGACAATTCATGCTAAGAACTGTACTCAAACAAACTGTGGGCCATTGCCGGAGAAGATCCCCATAGGTGCTCCGGACGTGCCAATTGTGCGTGAAGTCACACAAGCTACTGCTGTGCTCTTGGTATCTCTCAGCCTGTGGACGACTTGGTTCTTGGAGGTATAATCGATGATTAAGAGGTAGTCGTCCCCAGTAATTCCAATCAGGTTGGTGCCTATCTTGGTCCATAGAGTGCAAGGAATCTCATGGGGGCGGTCCTTTTTCTGCTTCGGTTGGTTTTCTTGGCAGCATTCACACTCCCTCACAGTATTGTCTACGTCACGGTTGATGTTTGGCCAGTGCACAGTTTCTCAAGCGAGACATCGTGTGTTTTCAGTGTGGAGCTGGTTCAGGTTGTAGTGTCGTGGGTCCTCTGTGATTATCACCGCAGATATTCCTAGTTTATCTCTGTAGGGCCAGTATGGTCTCAGGTCTTTGGATAGTTCCACATGGGTACACCCGCAATCACTGGGCCTGTGACGCCAACGACGTAGCATCTGTGCTCTGACCTTGTGGGGTCTTTATATTTGTAGAGTACATTGATGGAGCCAAGACATGGGGTCAGTGTTTCCTATTACAGGAAAATAGGTTCACAATAAACTACTAATGAAATTAGAAAAATAAACACAATCTTAATGAGGAAGTCTAAAGTCATGGATGAAGGAGAAAATGATGCACCCGTGTGCAAAAGTTTTTGCTGCCACCTTTGTTCTGCACCCCAACAACCCTCGCTTGTATGGAGTTGCGGACATGAATAGCCGCTGGTAAAAAAAACAGAACGGTCGTACTGCGCATTGGACACCTTCTGTCTGCCTGCAGGATCCAAGTATGATGTTATTCTCCTTAGCATACTGACGACATTTCCAGCTCTAACAGCCACTTTCGACACATAAGCAACGAATGAGAAGTTATGGGTGAATGTCACACGTAGCAGGTCCAGTTCGCTGCTTCCCTACAGCTCAACCCCATCCATACACAAAGGAGCATGGTGACTATGTCCTCTAAGACTGATCGTCATGACCTTCCACTTACTACCCCATTGAGTGATTTGGTTGAGGTCTCTGTTAAGTGATGCAGCATGATGATTACCTTCGTCGTTGCTGGGGACAACGCAGAAGAGTGTTATGTCATCGGCATAGAGGCACATATCATTTTCAAGCCCATCACACATGTCATCAGCATAGACTAGAACCAATGTGGGTCCTAGGACTGAATCTTGAGGTACACTGGCATTTATGTTTCTTTTTTCTGACTTTTGACCACCTATTGTAACTTAATCTCTCGATAACTTACGTAACTGCTAAAAAAGTAGCTATAGCAGATCATCAGAAATTACACGTGCTCTCAGCTTGGAAAGTAGACCTTAATGCCAAACTCGACCAAATGTCCCCTTGGTATCCAATGCAAAAACCCAAACATCGTTATGGTCGTTCAATGAAGTCAATCAAACGTGACTAAGGTAAGTCAATAGATCAGCTGCCGAATGACCAAGTCTGAACCCAAACTGATTGACCTTCACCAGATTATGCTTGAATAGGTGTTTTCGGAGCTCCCTATTGATAACTGATTCAAATACCTTGCTTAAATTTGATAGCAGACTGGTTGGTCTGTAGTTGGTGACTCTTGAACGTGACCCCCTTTTGTATACAGGAACAGCATTAGCTGCCTTCTACAATCTTGGGAATTCACTTGCAATGAGACAAATCCTGAAGAACTTTGACAGAGGGACACACAAACACTTCACATTCTTGAAGCACTCGGTTGCTAATACCATCAGGACCGTTTGCTTTCTTAGAATCAAGACGTTTCAGGAGCCTTTTCACGTCCCTTGGCCTCACCCTGATAGTACTGAGCTTGTAGTCAATGAGTGATGGAGAAGTTGGAGCTTCATCCTTGGCATCCTCTATGGTACACCTGTCGGAAAAATACGTACGGAAGACTTCTGACTTTTATTCTGCTGTACTTAATGTTTCTCCTTTGTGTGTCACTGTAGGGATTGTTGAGGGAGCTGTACTACCTTTGAGACGATTCATAGCCCACCGTCCTTCTGGCTTGTTTCTTTATCGGTAAGGCGTTCATGGGTCCTAATGAAGTGCTCTGGCGAGCATTTTTTCCACCTGAGCAAGCGTTTTTAAAGAAGCCTGGAGATTCTCCATTCGCTGAGGGGAAGAGTCCCCAAATGCATTTCCATAACATTTCTACACTTCCTTTTCTGCCGTTCTGCAGGCATCATTCCACTTTGCTGGGTCTGATGAGTTTGTCCCTGTATGGTATGAACTTCTCCATGGCGTTAGTGGTTACAGTTTCAATGTTTACCGCAGCTGTTTCTACATGTACCGTCGTCAGTGTTGAGTTTCTGAGACGGGATAGAAAAGCAGCTGACAGAAAGAAAATGGCCGAAGAAAAGAAAAAAGCACGAGAAGAGAAGAACCGACAAAGACAGGAGAAGGGAAAAGGGAAACAAATCGCCAAGAAACCACGCCCTCCCACACCCTCACATGAAGGCTCAGATAGTGAAGAGGAGGATATGGATGAGGAAGACAACACGTTTTGTGCAAAGTGTAACGCACCGTGGATGGCGGATGAACCATGGGTTTCCTGTAGAGGATGCAAAGAGTGGTTCCATGAGGACTGTACAGGATGGCGAGGCGACATGAACTTGTTCATATGCACTGACTGTCGTGACCTGTATGATTTGGCGAGTGGATCTGATTAGATTTAGTGTACATGGGTCCATGCATACAGTCTCAAGGAAACACAGATTGCTTCTGAACAGTTAAGGCCAGTTCTTGCTAAATGTTTGTGCAAAAGTGAATGTGAATGGTTCAGGGAAAGGCACATGCCTATCAAAAACAACTCCAAATTCAACTCGTTGAAATTATGAGGATAGAAAATGTAAGATATTTAGTGAAGGAAATTTGAGCTCTGTCATGACATTTTGAACGACACATTTAACACTTTGGTGCTTCTAAGATATTTACAATTACCTGTTTGAAATGTTTATTATCCATTTACCAATTTTTACTGTCATATTTGACTTTTTTAATGAAAAATATTAAGGTTTAATGATGTGGCCCACTTGCCCCACCCATGGGGCAAGTGGGCCACTTTTGGCTGGAATTTTGATTAATTAATATTCATATTTTTAATAAATGTTATTGATTTCAGCTTTTGACAATTAACAAGTAAGTGTTTGGGCCATGTAATAAAATAGGGTTTGGCTATTTCCTTGATCTTTTGATGATTGTTACAACTGAAAATGTGCTTAAGCGGTCCAGTAGCCCCACATTCCCCTAAAGTGAGCGACAATGTGCGACACGCCAAAAATTGGAAATGGCCCCAATTTTTCAATTATCTGCACTCATTGCAAGCATTTGGTGACTGCCTCAGACTGTAGAAGGATATAACTCAAAGCGTCTCAAAAATATTAAACATGATGCTGGCTGATGTTTCAGTTTGAAACCGTCGATCACGATTGTGAAACACGTTGACTGGTTGAAAATTGGATAACTTCTACCAGTCATCACAAAAGTGATATGAATAATGCATATATCATACTATTATAACCATATTGCCGACCCTGGTCAAACAAAATATCCAAGACCTTCCTGTGTTGTGGATCCCAGAAAAACTATATAAGGTCTTGGAACCAAAACTTTAGGCTGTGGTGCGTTAGAACTTGACTTGTACTTGGACAAAAAGACTTGACAATGTGACCTTCTTGTGCTTGGTTCAAAATGACTTATGACTTGACATAAACTTGCAAAAATGAACTTGTGAGGTGACTTGGACTTGCAAAATTTGACCACCTCTGCCCTCAAGTGTAAATGCCCGAGGACCCATTTTCCTCTTCATTTGAGACTTTAAAAAAAATCAATACCGCAGGGCGACACAAAATTACGAAGGCCGCCACTTTGGAACCAGAATCTCCCATAGCAGATACGTTGCTGGAGTTGCCCTTTGAACCCCGATGCAAAAGGCAGAGGTCGCCCGAATTCGATGGTCGACAACATGACTAATACTACAACACTGCAAGCTTCGTGTATTGGAAATGGTTTCTCTATAAGCAAATCGTTAAAAGGGTCCAAAGTGCGCATTCCGTACTCGGGAACCTCACTTCAGATTTATTCCGTTTAGGCCTAAATGATGAGTATACAGCACACATGTTTCTCTAAAGTTTCGGAACACAGTAATTGATTCAGTAATGATGATTGAAGTTCCTTGCCTCGGTCACTAGACATCGTGTAAAACGCACACACCTTTGTTTTTAACAACTTCCGGTTTCCATGATTTTCTAAGTCTTGTCTTTGCTTTCATTATAGCAAACAATTTAACAAAGTCTATCACTGATGTACATGTGTTGCGCTCTTACATTGATATAAATTAACATCTGCCCAACGCAAAAATACATCATGAAAATAGTTCGCGGTACCCGCTGCTTCACTTGACTCGGACCGGCCAGCCGACTCCGGCAAGCTCGGTGGTCGAGTTAATGAGTCAGCTTACCTATCTTTGTCGTAGTGACTGAAGCAAGTGTCTCTCAGATCGGAGCTTTGAGGTTTATAATCAGCCTCGAACCCATTCCACTGCGCCATTTTGGTTTAGGCTAAATCTTAAAACTTGACCCGACTCCACTGAGTTTCAACGTCTCAACATCAATGTACATGTAGGTTGGTATTGTGTAGCAATACGTTCACTCAATGTCGACTCTGTTCACCAGGAGCTTATCTGTGACGGTTTATATGCCCTTTGGAAGACCATGCAGGCTGTGTTTGGATGTGAGCGAACAGCATTGCATTATTATTGTCTGCAGTTGTATTGACCCCTCATGGGTGATCAAACTGACCTTTGTGAACTGAGGGCCGACCTACAACTCACCTACCTAAAATAACTCGTACTTTCTTCGGTTCACTGCTTAACACGAAAACGAATAACATACTTTGCCGTCAAACAATATTTGCCCAGTTCATTAAACTTCAATGGTTTTACTTTTTGCTAGAGTTAGAACTGAAGTTCTCGATTGGCACATTTTAAGTTTTATATTTCGTTATATTTCGAAGACCAAACTCCACAGAGAGTGACATTATGATAAATTCCAAACATTCTTTTTATTTTATGAACCTTTTGAAAGCTACAAATAAATTGGATTTAGCATTTTTTCTCTAGTTTAGTGAAAGAGCGACAGTCACTCCTTCCTAAATATTTCAAAGAATAAGCAAATAATCTGTTGAAAATAAGCTGAGGTATAAATAAGGAGAAGTGGTTGCTGGTCGTACCTCATATAAAAAACACATGTAATTCTGAATGTATAGGCCTACTGGGTGTTTAGTGAAGGTACGTGACGGATATGGGAAATGGACGAAAAAGTGTTCAAAGCTCCAATTTATCGAAAGGAAAGGCTTATTAAATTGGTATGGGTATTTTTGGTGTGAAGTACCATAGCAACCACCATTACCAAAGCCAAAGATCAAGTCGTTACACACAGTTTCACGAACGAGCAAGGGAACCGCTAATTTTCAAGTTTCAACGCTTTACACGACAAAAAGTTTCAAAAAATGCGGAGCCATCATACACCACCTTAGTTATTTGGATAAGAGCGATAACCACAGCCATACAAGGGAAAAAGTACCAGTTGCGAATTGATTATTAATTAACGGTTATTTCTATATGAAAGCGAGCCCCACTGGTTTACAACATACGAGTACCGTGACCAAACAACCAACACAGTGCCTATCGGTAGACGATAATTGAGAAACACTATTGTCGCGTGATGCCTAGAAGGGTTTTCATCATACCCTACAGCATTGGTTTTATTTCTTTATTGACAAAGCTTTGGCTGAATTACGCCCACGATTGTGACAATATGAAAGCTCACCAAAAAAACTTGACTGCGCGTTGTCCAAGGCAGTACCTGCTTCAACGAATGACCATCAATTACGGTTGTGCCATCATAAGGCAAAGTCTATTTCCGGTTGCACTTGTTTCTAAAGACGCAGCGTCAATGAACAAACTTCGTAAAAAACTAGACCTAAAAAGTCTGTACACGTTTCGTGATTAAAGACAGTGATTTGAGTGGCATTGACGTCCCAAATTCGTCCCCTACCCAACTCCGTCAATGCCTACTGTGGGGGCAGGCATGCCCGGCTGTGCCGACACAGCTTCACTTAGGCTTGGGAGAAGAACTTTGTGAGAAAAAGAATGCGATAAAGCAATCAGTATTGTAAGCTTCTACTGAAAATAAAATGAGCAAAGGAATTACATTAAACTCAGCTCGATTATCCTCGAATTAGCATTCCACTTATTCAGTAGATACCTCGTTTAAAAAACGAGGACTTCAATGGACGAAATTTGTACCGGGAACCAGGGGATGGGGGATTTTTGATGGGGGTTGTGAGTTTGTTTCTGCATTCAGTTGGGGACCCTGAACAACAGGGGACTATAAGGTCCCCGATTGACAGAGGGTCCCCAATTGACAACTGTGTACAAAACATATGAGTGGTCTTCTCAAAAGGTTAAAGTACAAACAAAAGAGGAACAATAGGGGGTCCCCAGTTGCAGGCAAATACACACTTGGGTGTGTGTGAGGGTGGGGGGGGGTTGATTTGCCCAGATATTGGTTACTGAAAAGTGCGGGAGGAGTGCTGAAGTTCATGATGCAAATGTACGATCTGTTATGTAAGCATCACACTTTACATCAAAACGGAGTATTTGTGGCTTCTAAATAATTGTTCTCACTTTTGGGTGCTATAGAATGCATTTTGGTTAAGAAGTCCAATAAATTCTTCACAATCCGCCTCAATTTTTGTCACCACGAAAAAGTAGGCGTATGATTCAACAGTCCACATCCCCAGTCAAAAGTGGAAGGAATAACATCCCCACCCGTGGGGAACTACACCCAATGAGGAAGTTCTATTCATGACTACAGTGCTACAGTATTAGCAGGCATTTGATAGCGGGACCCTTGTTGTTTGCTGTGTTTGTACTAAGCGATTCCGGTAAACTTAGCCACAGATATTAATTCAATTTTTTTTTGCATTTTTCAACCTGCTGCCAGAGGGCGCTTGAGTATTTTATGACGTCACCAGTACATGTTTTGAGGAGTACTGTTTGACGTGAGACTAATTTACATTTCCGGCGGTTCGTAGTAAAGCGGGAAATTACTGCCTTGGAAATTCGAATAGGCCTAACACCTAGCGTGAAGGTCCTGATTAGTCAGTAGGCAGGTGTGTCATTTATCCAGGAATGTTAAGATGGGCGTTTTAAAGGGGGTAAATTGTGTAGCAGTGGCGTACGCACGGGGGAGGGGGCCTGGGGGAACAGCCCCCCCCCCGCAAATTCCCGGTGGCCTGCCGTGCCCCCCCCCTACAAGGCTGACGAAATCTTGTCCCCCCAAAAACCAAACTGCTGAAAGCCGGTGCCCTTCATAAGATGCTGGTGTCCCCCCCCGGTGCCCCCAGTAGCCAAATCCTAGCTACGCCACTGTTGTGTGGATGGTCAGTTGTAGTGAGCACATCCATAGACGCACACTCGGCACAATGGAATTGTTGATAAAATTATTAGGTCAAGTCCTACACAAGCACATCTCTAGTTTATCCTGGACGTTGCGGATTCCAATGAAGTAATTCTAAAATACACAAAATGACATGCGATCAGAAGTAAACAGGATGCATGGTTTTGCTCCAAAATGGTGCTATATATTGTTTTTTAAAATCAACGATGGCATAAGAGAGAAACTGTATATTTTGCTTGGAGACTGGGGTAAACAGACAGAAATTGGGATTCCCAAAAGGGAAAGGGGGGGTTTCAGAACGAAAAAACTTTTATCCTACAGGATCTGAAGTGGAAGAAAAAAGAAAACATCTTCAAAAAAACAAAAGATGTTTCGGCAGGTGCCCAAATGTCCCTGATAATTTATTTATATTGATAAATTTAAGTTGACCAGCTTGAAACACTTACACCCCTCTAAAACCACAAAGGCACATCCAATTTCACAAGACGGATGTCTGCCAAAGCCCCTATGACTGTGTAATGTGCCTTGTCAGACTTACCACGTCCCTTGGGGCTACAATGGGCCCCTATATAGATTCAGGTAGCGCGTTCCGTCGACGAAAGATATACTGAGGAGGGGTCATCGAGGGTGCTGGCTGATTGATGATTTATTGCCGAAATAGGCTTGGGAGTTATTTCGGTCTGAATTTCAATCGACGTAATGACAATACCCGAGTTTCTGCTAGAATAACAGTAGTTTTTCATGCGGATGAGTGAAGTGGGGAAACAAGAGACTGAAGTAATGACAAGATTGTTAGACGGATTGAGGAAGGAAGTGCTAGAGGAAGAGAACGAATTCGGGGGAACAGACAACATCCGTATTAAACGGATGGAAGAGCAATACATTCACCCTGTGAGTCACAATCTGGACCAAGAGAGGCCGCTATTTCCTTAGCAACAGGGGCTCCTTTGGTATACTAACTGCGCATCGCTGGTTCACAAACGACAAAATGAATGCACCCGACCAATGCAGCTCTCTTCAACCGATGAGGGGGTGCTTCTGCTTGAGGCGGTCAACCAAGGCATGAAAACAATGGTAACAGCCAAATTCTTGCAATTAAGTTCTGCTGCACAGGATATTAAACCCAAGTTGGGCCTCCTCCAAGTAGGCACGGGAAAAAGTTAGAACGTACCAAAAGTACAGTGGGTGACTTCAGTCGGGCAATAGATAAAATAGTGAACGAAACTCCTTGTTTATATCAGAAAGGTATGCACAGTTGACATACACATGGCCTACAAGGATACTCATCGTCCCGTAATGATAATTTTTTCCCGACATTTTCCCAATAAATCGATGCCAATACCGACTCTTTGGGAGTTTTAAGGCCAAGACCAGCCCTATACCTCTAAGTAAGGCCAGGATAAAACAGACAACTCCAAGAACTTAGCATCGCGACGAAGACAACAAATGCGACATGTTTGCTTCAAGGCCCGTTTAGTTATGATCAAGGAATACCCTGCATCCCTTTAGAAGGGACGGAACGTCACGGTAAAAATTAGTTTCCTTTTCCATGACCCTTAATTCGCTATGATTACATAAATTTCTGCCACAGTAAGTGCACAGAGGCAGGTTATGTTGTTTCACCCTTAATCACTTCGATATACGGTACAACACTTCCGTTGTAAAAGTGACTATTAGGCCCTATAGTGGTATCATTTCAGAACTCCAATTCAATCAAGGCCTAAAACCATTTTCGAGTAATGGTGCAACATATCTGTTGTAAAAAAATCCACTCGATATAATTTCAGTATTTTAATCAAAACATATTCATAGATGGTGCTGTGTAAATTTTATTGTGTCGAAATTAGAATTGTGCGTTTTGATACAAAACGTGTGGGCTTAAGATGTGGGCAACAGTTTATCGTAAAATGACGACTGAAACACACCCTTCTGCATTAGAATATATATTAATCCGTGAATGTGCATACATCTCCCCCAAAAAACGTTGTTGATTACGATATCAAGATTGATGAAGTCGATAAGCAATATCGCACATAACCTTAAATACTTTGAAAATCTAAAGTATTAAGTATTGAAATGGCTTTAACCATATATATATCATATTTGTTCCCATTATCGTAGTTAACACACGCAGTCGACGACATTTCTATCCATTACTCTATTTATCTATCATGTTTTAATACCTTTCAATATACCACAGGTACTATATCATTTAAATATACCACAGCAATGATATTTACAGGTTAGTACTTTATACCACACACCGTAGAGCCCGTCTCGGTAATCATACCCCATAAACAGCTAGGCAGGTTAAAATATGTGAAAAGGATGAAACGAAAATGGATTTGGAACGGCGCACTTCCCTGCAGCTTCAACAGCTGTGCAGCACATCATTATAACTTTCAACAGACCCTTATTCACGGGAAGCCATTTTGATCTTGTTCCCTGAATCTATTATATTCAATGTATATGTAAGCTGTAAATAGGGTAGTGCCAGCCAGTTAGGGTTCCAAACTCCACTTTCCTTTTAAAAAAATATTTAAACATTACTTACTCTAAATTATTCTTTTAAAAATGACATGAATTTGTATTGAAATTTGTTTCGTCACTTTTTTTTACTTGAGGCTCCCAAAATAAAAGTCTTACGTAACTGACAATTCAAGATCGCCGACTCAACTTGGACACATGCATGAATATACACGTAATCTATTTTGAGTATCCAATGAAATAGCAGCACAATGCAGAATTATCCTTCCTCCAACCTGAATGACATGTACACCAGAATCGCACTGAGTCAAATAGGCTTTTGAGCGACTTTGGTAGATCCAAACAGATTTTAGGCTCATAATTAAAGTTGCACACAGATGATGAAAAATAGGATGACAAATCGACACACAACTCGCTTCTTGCGGCGTGATTCCTTGATGAAATTCTCTGAACATATGGACACAGAGCTGGCAAGCAAACCCAGAGCCAAAATGATCATATAGTCATAAATACGATGAACAATTATTTATATAAATAGGCACAAGAAATACAAGCAAACCTGAAGGCTGACAAGCAAAATTGTAAGGCTGTATTGATGAAGCAACGAATTTGAAGTTTTGTTGTATAAAAGGAAAACAGACATACGGACAAAAATCAGTACACCAATTAATGTTGCAATCTCAATTTTTTTCTGAATAACAGAATTTCATGTTTCAAGAAAATTGCATGTTTATATTAGCAACATCCTTTTACAGATATATGTATTTATCTGCCCATATTATGACGTTTGCAGTACATGCTGCTGTTGATTTTCGAATTCTAAAAAGGTCGAATTTTCTCCTTAATTTATACATGTTTCAACAAAATTTTCACTGAGTCTTGATCATAATAATGACACATCTGAAACCAAAGCGTTCTAGGGTCGTTCCAACCGACTGCAAGAGTCGATCTTTCGACGCACCGCGCCAATGGTCGCTCCTTCTTGTTTCATAGGTCGAGTTTTTCATGTACGTAACTAGTTTGGTTCGATGTGACCATAGGCGTAAATCCCTGGGGGTGGGGGTTTATATCCCCCCCCCACACACACCCATACACTTGAAAAGAGCGACATCTGAAACGAGGTTATTGGCTACTGGATCATCTACCACTTTTTAAAGTTAAAACAAAATGGACTGTAAAGAATTTTCCAGACTTTCCAACGACTGAAATCCATTTAATATCACTCAAAAAGGAAACAAATTAAAAACTCATAAATGTGACATTCTGAATACCTATTAACGATGTGCATCATCATCATAAACATCGACCTGTAAAGTCTTTTCGTGGCCAAGCAAGTCATTCCCCACTTTTCCCCATCCCTCCCCCAACTATATTCAATTTGAATTTATATAAAGAACATGGTTTACAATCCCCGTTTTCTCCTTCCGAAAACTGCACTACAGCTTAAAAAGTCACTTCCATTTCCATTACGAACGCTGTAGAGAGAAATGACGATGCAAGAAGCGATTTGTGTGTGTATATTTGTATCTCCAGTGCTGCGTACGCCTGTCTGAAGCCAAAACCATTCACTTGGACAACAGGTGTTCTTAAAAGTCAGGTTGGGGAGCCAAGTTGTCGTAGTGTTTCTTTCCCTGCCTTCCACCTGTGGGGCCTGGGCTCGAATCTGGTTTGGTCCACCTGTGGATTGGGTTTTCAGTCCCTACCTGAATCAGTGGGTTTTCCCCGAAACATTTATGTGGGGTTTTCCTCCCACCTTTAAAACAACATTTTTTCGTTGTCTTCTTCACTCATTATCATACTTTAATTGGCGCTAAATGCGCTGTTGGATGAACAGTTGTATAAATAATGATAATAAAATCATCACACCAGTATGAAACGTGAAAAAAGTATGAAAAAAAAGTTGGAATAAAAAGGAACCATTTCCGGCAAAAATCGTTTCTCTTGAAATCCTTCCCTTCCCTAAAAGCTGCTTATGTTATTATTTTCTAACGTAGCAGGGCAAACGTTTGCGGCCATGTTTTTTTTCTGTTTAGCGTCCACCTTGACCAGTCCGGGGTGTCCAGCGGGCTGTGCCGTTCTGGCTTGGGCCGCATTGTGCGCTGCTACCAGGCCCAACTGAGGGAGTCTTGTCCGTCCCGACAGCATCGCCGGAACCTGCCGGTGGAATGATATAACAGAATTCAAATTATGAACTCTTACATGTAAACGACTTGCAGTAGGGTAGCTCAAGTCACCCAACGCGTTATTATGGCCTCTCCTCGGAGGTCTTGTTGTAAGCACTTGAACAAATTTCTCTCAACATTCATCACTCAGTAATTCTTCTTTTGAAAATACAGGCATATATACCTCTGATGCAAGACCGATCACACATCCAGCCCTGAGCAATCCCTGCTTCATCTCCTCGATTTTGTCTAAATTGGCCCCCCTTGAGGCGTCCTCGATCACCATAGTCCGGTAGCCGAGACGTTGAGCGTCCATGGCCGTCATTCCCACGCAGAAATCGGAGGCCAGACCACACACGAAAATGTCAGTTATGTCTCGCGCCTTCAGGTCAGCTATCAACGCGGTGTTAACGCGTTGGGTCTGGTCTTTAAACACTGAATAACTTTCTATGTCAGGGTCTGTGCCCTTAAGATGAACGAGATGGTTTTCCACAATCTGTGGGTGGCGATACAAATTTTTAAGAATGAATGCATTTCAAAATGTCGGGGGAAAAATGAAATTCCATAGTTATTAGGTAGAATCTTCAGATAAATTTACATTAAATGATCTGCAAACCCTTGTATTTTTCCTCTTACGAAGAAATCTTTACCTTCAGATCTGGATGAAGCTCCGCCCCCTTTGTGCCCTCCACACAGTGCACCGGCCAGAGAATCTGTTCTACTGACGGCTGGCTGTCGAAGACAACTACGTCGAGTAACTTGGCTTCATTGGCTTTTGCCTGGAACAGATTAGACCAATCAAAACGAAAGACAAGGAGCGGGATCCATTCAGCGTCAAATATCACTAGGTTTGACAACAAATCAAGGAAGACAAAATAGCAGACAGGTAACGTATTTTCAGAGCTTTCTCATTCTCGTCGGTGAAATTATGACAAAAAATCTTAAATCAGACATGCGACTTGCTCTATTTTATGAATGGGATTATACATAATTATAATTTTGAGGTAATCCTTGTATGAATAGATGAACACATTTTTTGCCACTTTTACCTTACAGCTTTTATCAATCGGAGGACATTTTTTCCCTAATTATTATTATTGGTGTTTTGATAATGCCACTTTGCATATTTATTAATAAAATCTTCGACTTTTCAAAGTTACCTCAGGAAAAACCCTCCACTAAACATCTATGTCAGCTACAACATCCGATAAAATTTGTGCTATCAGTCTTGATCTCTTAAACTGTCTTTTATCTTATGATTAATTGTTGTTTACGTATATGACAGGAGGCCATATTTGGAACAGAAACCCTAAAAATTACCAGTTTCTCCCTGAAATGACATCACAACATCCTCACTTTTCAGGAAGAGTATTAAATATTTAAATTAGGCCTATAGTTTAAAAAGTGAACTTTCTAATATAGGAAATATTTTTAACGAGGAGATGAAAGAATATGTTCCCTAGTCAAATTCATATCGTGCAATAACTACTGCGAGTTCAGTACACAGAAAAACTACCGGTAATGTCGTTTATTTAGGAACTGAATATTTTGATAATGTTTGCCGGGAGAGTGTCCTCCCGGTAGCAGTTTGAGTATCGGTAACCTTTTACCTTGCTTGATGGGTGTAGTTTTCTCTGGCTCAAGTTGTCAAAGAAGGACAAATGATTGGGCGGATGGTAGTCTTTCGTGTAAACTACCACCTCAAACGTCAAGTCCAGAAGCCTGGTATGAAACAATGGAAATTAATTGCGACAAAGAGCTGTAAATGAAAGCGTATTCCCAAGGGACCATCACCAACTTTTGTTAAGAAGTCTTTAAAAATATACCTTCAGTGCACGCAGTTACTGTTCTTGAAGGAAACTTTAACAGCATTTGCGTAATGAAGGATTAGAATTGAAGCGTTCCAGTACAGAGGAACTTTGGTTTTGTGCATCTTGAAATGAAAATAACAGTCATGCGCACTATGCGCACAAAAGTCAAATAAATCCTTGGGGTTCTAAAAGTGGCTTCGTCTCCGTGTCAGGCTTTGTCTTTGAAATCGATATCCACTTTTTAGCTGAGAATGTCCAAATTAAATGAAGTTCAATATGTGGGTCGCTATAGCATAGCTGGAAGTTTGGAATGCTTGACTGGAATGTTTCACTTCTTGTCGACCTATCGAGCCAAGTCGGAGACGGAGATAAAACCCAGTACATAGAAATTCTCCAAGAGGAGGCTACTGCGCCATCTACACAGGGACCATGCCGGGGACCTTGGCAGGCAATGACTTACTCATTTATGACAGGGACCACCTCTAAGCCATCTTGGCAAGCCGAGCAGAGTCGTAGCGCCAGCGAACCGTCAATGAAGTCATTCTGAACGTCCACCACAAAGATAGCTGCTCTTGGCGACAGTATCTGGTAATTGCAAGCAAAATAAACCAAGCTGACATTGTGTGTCCCTTTGACAAATCCGGGCACTTGATCGTCAATCGTGAAGGCCTGCTGTATAGTAACGGCGGCAGCATTATGCCATTGCTGTTCAGGAAGCCCTCTAGGGTGAGTTCTTCCGAATTATAAAAGTCAGTAAGTTAGCCTACCTCCATTAACAGGAGTATATCTGGCAAACTCTGACCATACAGGTGCTGGAAAAGTATAGCTGTATTTAAAACCATTTATTTCCCAAAACAAACATTCCTAATGCGAGGGGAGATGAAACTGCATGCATTTTACAGCAGAAGTGGATGCGAGTTGATTGGCTTTCATGAAAAGAGAAGAAACCTTTAGTCACATTGGGAATATAAAATGAACTTTTTACCTGATTAAGCCAATACTTCCAACAAAAGGCAAAGTCTTTGGTGGCAATTCCTCTACCGTCCTGTTGCAAAATGATGAGGAAAAGATACTTTGAATGAAATCTGCTGCAGTGAAGTTAAATTATTGAGCGCATAGATATAAATGTGGTAAAAAGCTGGTGTTGTAGTGTTTCCCAGAGTCATAAGGGGTCACTAAATTTTGTGACTCGAGTTGAGTTATTTTAACGCAGTAAGTCGAGTAGCGTCATAATTAGGTGATTTCGAAAAAGTGGATTCGGCTTAGATTCGGTTTCGCTGGTTCGTGTCAGAGTTTGAACATGTTGTTTTGATCATTGGTTAAAAAATGGCTGGAAACAACGAAACCAAAGTCCAAGCCGAATCCACTCCTTTCGAAAACGCCCGTAAGGTAAAGAAGTCAAAAGTTGGGTCACTATGTGTAGTTGAGTCTAATCGAGTCAATAATGAGTCACAAATATTTGAACAAAACATACAACAAACTCACGAGAGAAATTTAATTTCTGGCATTTTTTAAATGCTGAAACTGTTCATGGGATTATATCCCATCTTACCTTTTGATGGTAATAAGAAAAGAAGAGGGTGAAAATGAGAAGAGGGTCGAATTATAAAGCTCTCTCAGTTCATAGATTAACACCAGGAGTATGAAACGTGCATTAGTACTCCCTTAGTTATATTTCTAAATTAAAGCACGCTTGATGCTCGGTAGTAGGAATATTTTGACAACAGAGTTTCTAGTGTTTGGCAATTCTAATTTTGTTACATCTCAGTCCGTTGGTTCGTCTTTGTTTTTTGTCCTTGTTTTGTTTTGACTGCATTGTACTACCATTGTCTTTTTTCATGTATAATCTGTTGACAGTCTTCGTTGTCTGGCTTTTTTTGCTATTGTTGTCTTAATAAGGCATTTCTATATCAATTTTTGTATATCTATTTGTTTTCTGAATATGCCTCTGTATTTGCCCCCTTTTATTTCAATGTCTAATGGTCTTATTAATTTTCTCTCTTGTGGTCAAAAATCTTTCATTTAATGACCTTGAGTATAATTTAATATATACATTGCAATACGTAAATAAATGTTGAGTAAAAACAAGCAGAATGAGCTTCATTTAAAACAGCCAAGCTTCAAATACTCAGAATTTCAGCCTTATGTTCGTGAAATCTACATTCAAAAGTCCGACACAGTACCTTATCCCCACAAAGGACCTTCATCATGGCAACGGAATCGGTCTTGGAGACAACGTGGCGCCGCCCGTCGATCGTGAAGAGATCACAGCACAAGTTATGGAACTCATCCTCGTTCAAGACGCCGTCCCTGAATTGCAAAAGCATAGATTTTTTTTCACCGTCACGTATACAAAAGAGGTTTGGAATAGTCCCTATGACGATGCCTTTTCATGGAGCAAATAAAGTTTACAGAGATAGACTAGCGGGGAAAGACAGTAGCCAGTGAGGGTTCGAGTAGGATGGCGCTATTTAAACCCCCCACACACACACACGCACATCGTTCAACGCTAAATAATGTTACTATCCTAATAAAACTCAGTGTAATAATGAACAGAATGCTTAAGTCTTTAAATTTATGCTCCTGCAATTATCTTAAAAATACAGGAAAAGAATCTTAAATGCCTTTAATCTCACAGGGCCATGGATTCCCGGTGGGTTGTGCCTTTAACACCTTCATTGCGCCTACACCATCCATTAATATGGACGATTCACAACAGTGCGCTTTCAAGAGTTTGCAACGAGTTGGCCAATCACAGAGCGCGAAATCTGTCGACCCTTTCCAACCTCGCACAGGTAGACAGATTTTGCTCATCGTGATTGATCAACACGTTGCAAACTCTTAAAGGCGCACTATTGTGATGCACCCGTATTGTCTGAAAGACTGGAGCAACACTTCGTGGATTAGCAAAATGAAAATTGCACATTCCACACCAGTTTGATTTTTTTCACGGTTCACAGAAATTGAAAACATTTAGTTCACGTGAAGTATTTCAAAATAACAATAAATACGTAACCATTTTAAAAACATCGTAAATTTAATGTTTACCCCATGAATCGTGACCCCAAAATGAATAAAAAGATCATGCATTTCCCCGCCCACAAAAATATACCCTTTTGGCCGTTCGCACTCTCAGGCTGATTTGATGATGTCATCGGCAGAACGCCTACATGAACAGTGTACTGTTCGTACATTGTACGACTGCACACAGTACATGCAATATCGCACGCTTGCAACAGTCCCCGTTGCGTTTGATGTAGCTTAGCCCACATGCAAACACTCTCTCGGTTCAAGGTACAGACTAAAAGACACAGTCCTACCATGTACATCTTGAACTGAGACAGTGCTTGCCTGTGGGCCAAGCTACATCGACCACAACGTGGTCTATTGCAAGCTTGTGATACTCAGTACTGTGTGCAATCACACAATGTACATGTACATGTACATGTATGTACACTGTTCATGTACATGTAGGCGTTCTGCCGATGACGTCATCAAATCAGCCAGGGAGCGTGAACGGCTAAGAGGGTATTTTTTGTGGGTGGGGAAACGCAGGATCCCTTTATTCATTTTGGGGGTCATGATTAGTGGGGTAAACATTGAAGTTATGATATTATTGAAATGGTTACGTATTTATTGTTATTCTGAAATACATGTACATGTACTTTACGTGAACTAAATGTTTTCAATTTCTGTTAACCTTTTAAGTTACTGTATTTATCAATGCTATCAGTGCGTCCCCTTAAGACGAACTCATCATCGACCGGCCGGAACTGTACTCATATCAGTTTCCGTTTTGCGTGAAAACAATGCTGATACCACACACGATAATGATGGCTCCGCCAGGGTCACTTGTGATACATGTAGAATGCACTAAAATACGGAAACAAACATGTTGAAACCTTCTACAAAAATAGCCTTGCATAATATCATCGCCAACAACACTTCCGTATCTGTCTTGTGTTGGTGTGGAATTTTAATGACGATGGTTTCTGCAAAATAACGCTGCCCCAGTTTGGATGAGAATTGAGCATTTAATTCAGCCAAACGAACTTGCGATGGTTTTATTATACACAATGATCGACGTTACGATTTCAGCAATAAAGATTTTATTCATATTTCAGATATCAAAACAAGCAAGAAATGCTTACAGAGAGTGCAATTGGAATTCGGTAGATAGACTTGATGAAGACCAAGATTATCATTGATTGAGCAGCATATTTTATGTAATGTTGTGAAGTGAATGCAAAATTACAAAACAGGAAACTGCTTGAAACCGTCCAGTACAGCAGTACAGCACCTAAAACCGTTGTAAATAGTCTCGCCAATAATACTATGCGAACACAAATTGAGCGCTGAATCAACCATGCGTGCCATTCTCAAGGCTTTAAAATCTGTGCACAACACGCAGGCGCTGCGAGCGGTTACTTACTGCTGGCCTTTTCGATCTCACCTTTGGCCCCGGTTATGTTTATGTCTTTGCCACGATGACGTGCCTCAGCTGCTTTATGCTGAGGGCTGTACCGTATTGTGCGTACCATGTCAGAATGCAGCGCAGGATATTTCATGCACAATACAATGGATACCATATGGATATGCGAAACGAACAGGATGAGAAAGGCCCTAAATGTCGACTGTATACTAAGGCCTACGCACGTACATGCAATAATGAAGCTCTAATGCAACAGTCACGGTGGTGCAGCCAAGCATGGAATTTTTTAAAAAGGGTCAGTTTTAAAGCATCGAATTGTCAATTCGAGTAAATATGGAACGCCACGACGGTGTTAGTGTCATGGTGTAAGAGTTGTAAACACAATGCCCTCAGTGTCGACATATCACACGCATCTCGTTACCAAAGCGCACAGACACCATCGTAGTTCCCTATATCTTGTGCTGAATTGTTCACCACAGAGGAATTGTCTTGTGCCTCATTTTG